ACCGATGACACTGTTGTAGTAAGTCTGATCTCTGACAATGATAAGAGGGCCTACCTGGAAGAGATCAAGCACCTGGAGAATTGCTGTCAGGATAATAATCTTCTCCTTAACGTCAGCAAGACTAAGGAGCTGATAGTGGACTACAGAAAGAAGCAGGAGAGAAGCTGCCATCCCATATGAATAAATGGAGCTGCAGTGGAAAGAGTAGTTTCAAATACCTTGGAGTTCACATCTCACAGGACCTGTCATAGTGTGGCGACATCAACTCTCAGGTGAAGCCCGCCAGTGTCTCTACCACCTCAGGCGGTAGACTTCAGACTGCCCTCCAGAGTGTATGGAACTTCTACACCTGCACCACTGAAAGCATTCTCACTGGGAACATCATAGCCTGGTTTGGAAACAGCACTGGGCAGGACAGAAGGGCTCTCAAGAGGGTGGTGGGGTCAACTAAACACATCATTCAGACCAAGCTCCCTGACCTGCAGACTGTCTATAGCAAGCAGTGCTGGACAAAAGCCAGGAAGATCGTGAAGGACCTTAGCAACCCCAAAAATGGACTCTTCTGTCTGTTGCGGTCAGGGAAGCGCTTTCGCTCCCTGAAGGCAAACACGGAAAGAATGAGGAGGAGCTTCTTCCCACAAGCCATCCAAGCTCTAAAGCACGACAACAAATAGGACAAACAGGACCATCTCACACACATATACACCCATTACACACAGGACTCTGCACTAAACATTGACCACTTCTAATTTGCTTTTAATTTCTTTATTCCATTTCCTGCTCAGTTGCACAGCATTATGTTGCTCTTTCACTTTGCACATTTTGAAATTCACACATTGAAACTTGGGATTCATAGATTGAGAAGAACACTGATAGGAACCTGTTTGTTTTAACAATGTGGTGAAATGTTCTGTTGTTTTGTTGTTGTTTGTTGGTCTCTTGGTGAAGCTGTGAAGAAGTTTGTTACTAATCTTCCTCTCATCTTAGAGAAAATGAACAGGTGAGAACTGTGCTCTTATTTTCAGTAGGAAAAGGTCAGATTAGGTCAGAAGGAGAGCGTCAGTGTCTGTATTTTGGGTTTAGGGTTAGTTTAGCCTGATGTAGTCAGGATTGATTTTGTGTTGGTGGTAGTTACAGTAAGTGTCCAGCAGGGGAGATTAGTTTAGTTGAATTCTTTGCTTTGGAACAATCCACATTCTTTATGTTTGAGCTAATAATTTCCCATCATTCCTGCAGTATTAAGCCTACAACAATGCCTGTTTCTCTTTTCTACTACTTTTAGTACTTTTATTATCTTTCATTATAAGTTTGATATTTACAGTAATGGATCTTCTAAATGAGTTCACTGATGTCTGTGTTGTTATTTCCCTCCAAACTAACTTCAGCTGATCTACATAATCTCTGCATACATCTTACCCAAGAGTGTAAACGTTACCAAGTGAAATATTTAATATAGTTATAAATTAATATACCAGAAATATGAGTGAGCAGAAGAGAAAGATGGATGAAGTGTGAGATGAGCTAATACAGAACTCCAGATATCAGTGAGTCAGTGATGGGCCTCATAGTACAGTGTACATGTGATTTTAACTGCTTTCCTCTAGATGGCAGTAGAGACCAACATTAGATCATAATCTAACTCTGACATCATCAAGAGTTTACTAGTTTTATCAAGGATTAAATATTTTTAAGGTCATTTAAGGCTGTCACAATCATAAAGTCTTAGCTGACAATAAAGTATTAATAAATAACAATTAACAATTTAATTTTCTTTTCATTGCATGCAGCTTTTAAAGTACCTGATGCTGCCATCAAATTCTAAATGGGCAAAAAAACAATAAAATTACTCAGTTTCAACATTTGATATGTTGTCTTTGTACTATTCAATCAAATATAGGGTTTAAGTATGTTGCACATCATTGCATTTTGTTTGCATTTACATTTTGCACAGCATCCCAACTTTTTTGAAAATGGGGTTGTATGTACCCCAGTGATTCAGAGATAGGCGCGTGTCCTGGGCACACTTTTTCCTTTTTTTCGGCCCACCCAGGAGAGAATCGCACTCAGCAGTTACTCACTAATCATTCTTGTTGGGAGTCCATGAATAACGACATTCGTAGATTTGTATCATCCTGTTCCGTCTGTTCTCAATGCAGAACTCCTAAAATGTTACCAGCTGGTAAATTTGTTCCATTACCCATACCTGCTGGAACTTGGTAGCACATTGCCATAGATTTTGTTACAGACCAACCTGAACCACAGTGGTTTCACCACTATCCTATAGGTAGATTATAGATAGATTTTCATGTAGTGTCCAATTAGTTCCTTTTGCATCACTGCTAGCTGCATTTCAAACAGCAGACTCTTTAGTGAAACAGGTTTTTAGATTCTTCGGTACACAAGAAGACATTCTGTCATATTAAGGCCCACAGTTCACTTCTCAAGTTTGGTCAGCCTTCTTTGAGCACATTGGGCTTTCAATTAGTTTAATCTAAGGGTTCCATCCTCAGTATAATGGACAATGTGAGCGTGTGAACCAGGAACTGGGAAAATCTCTGAGATTGTATTGCTACAACAATCCCAAGGACTGGTCTAGGTTTTTTATATGGGTGGAGACGGCACAGAACTCATTAGCTCAGCTATAGGAATTACCCCTTTTTAGTGCAGTTTAAGTTTTGGACGTCCCAGTCGTAGATGACCGGGTGCAGAGAAGTGAAAGAGTATGGAAGTGGGGGGGCACATAAAAGGATTGAAGTCGCCCTGCAAAGAAACAAGCAGCAAGCAGATCACTGTCAATGCCAGAATCCGGACTGGGTCTGGCTGTCCACAAGGAATTTTTGATTCCCTGAGGGGAGTAAAAACCTTAATCCCCAGTACACTGGCCTTTTTAAAATTCTGAAAAGAATCAATAATGTCAATTACTAATTAGATTTGCCCCTCACTATCGCATTTTGCATTTGTTTCATGTAATTCCTGTAATTTCAGGTCCGCTGGATGAGGCCACACCCGACGTCACGCTACTCCCTTCAGAGGGAGTGGATGGAGCCCCTGTCTACACTGTTCACCGGGTGCTGGACTCCAGAAGACCAGGAGTGGCAGTCCAATCCCTGGTGGGGTTTAGGCCTAGAGGAGCAAAGCTGGGTTCCAGATCATGACATCTTGGGTCCTGGGATGATCGCTTGACCTGTTTTGTGATTACGACTACAGAACTCCCTCAAACTAATAAAGCCTGCTCAGATTTTACACTCCGCACATGTCTGACTCATTCTGTCCCATTAGAACACCAAACCCAAGACTGTAATAGTTACCTAATGAAACATTTAATACTTTTATTAATGAAACAGCAGCAGTTTTGCTAATAAATACCTGAAATGTCAGTGAGCAGAAGAGAAAGATGGATGAAGTATCAGTTGAGCTAATACACAGCTCCAGATATCAGTCAGTCAGTGATGGGCATATACTGTGATACAGTTTGCATGTAACTACAGGGACTTTCCTCTAGATGGCAGTACAAACCAATAGTAGATGACAAGCCAACTATGACATCATCATCAAGAGTTTACTAGTTTTATCAAAGAGAAAAACACTATTAATGTCATTTAGGGCTGTCACAGTTCTAAAATCTTAGATGCCAATTAATTATCATTAAATAATTGCAAATAACAATTTAATTTTCTATTCATTGTACGCAGCTCTTGATGTAAACGCCTGAACTCAGTTCCTATGTGTGTATTTAGCAGCTAACACTGGTTTTACTGTTGAAATGATTCACTGCAGTTTTGTGCGACTCACTCAACACAAATGTCTACAGTCACACAGAATCATGTGAAGAGTCGACCAGAGCTTTACTTCAGAGTGAAAATATAAACAATAAACACTCATTCTGCTAGCATTCTAGAATTAGAATTCTGATTCTAAATCTGAATGAGACTAATTCTGTACTGAAGATACAGAGGAAATGACATCATCAGCTCTGAACTAAATGTCACACTTTCTAAATGCTGCTGATGTAGTGTTTCTACTTTTAAAGGTTGGTCAGAATCTGACTCCCCTATGCGTCACTCAGGAGTATAAACACTACAGATTACACTCATGATTTCTGTTGTTTCTATTTGTAAATATCAGTTAATCTCTACTTTTCCTTCACAGCAAACACCACAACAGGACCTACAGCCAAACAAAGAGTCTCACAGTGACAGTTTAATTTGATAAACTATAGATGCTGGTTGTTGGTGCAGCACTTGGGGGATTGAAAGCCTTTCAGTTATGATGTTAAGTATTATAATAACACTATGAACACAGGACGGCCTACAGGTCTCATGTTAATTCTCATGTCTAGGGCAACAACATACTTAGTACAACCAGGTTCACCACAGTAATATTCTTTCTCATCATTACTGGGCAGCGTTAGTGAATTAAGTTAGTGAATCTGCCCCTAAAAGTCCTTCACGAGTTAGTATCATCAACATTAATGCAGGTCTCTTAATGAGGGATCTTCCTCAGTCACTGATGCTTATCACTGGTTTCCCTCTACCCATAATGCTGTGTGTGCTGCAGTGTATTTTTAGCATTAGCTCTCAGAAACTGAGCTGCGTTATCTGTTCATCATGAGAGTGACATCATGAAGTGCTGTGCATGTTCAGAGAGAAAGGAAGTTCTAGTGTGAATATATGAAGCTGCTGGTCAGTTGAAGTCACTCACTCTGTCTACATACAACAAGAAGGTAAAAGTCATTGATTTAAAAGGGAAAATGTTCATCATCTCAGAAGTGTCTCATTAATATTCTTCAACGTGGAGCAGATCTTTCAATAATTTTACCATATTCAGTTTTTAATGAGAATAAGTGAGTCTTGTGTACTTGAAGAATGAAGGACTGATTCAGGAGAAAAAGAAGAACAGTTGTCAGGATGTGAGACGACAACAAGACTTTAACCACATTCACACCGACTGTTTAAACTGATGAAGCTCTTCTGTTCTCCTCATTCGTTCTTTGTTCAGGAGATGATTGTGACTTAATGAAGGTAGGAAAATACTCTCATTTCTTGTTCAGTAAGTAGAGAGTTTATATTGAACAGAGAAGTGAACTGATATTTATACTTTTATGGTCTGTAGTTTAATTTTAGTTTTTTTATTTTAGTCTCTTTGATAATCTTCACAATAGAACAATCAGTGAGACACTCTGAGTTAAGTGCACTTAAAGAACATTAGTGATGCAGCTCTAATATGAGGCCTGTAGAAAGTGTTTAATTCATAAAAGGCTTCTAATGGAGCAACTGCAGGTCTGAACTGCTGTTTGTAGATTGAAAGTGGTTTATCAGATTTATGCATGTTGTTGATTCTTGAAACAGCATTTTTTTTACATTTATGAAAATAAACAGTGTTATGCTGTTTGTGTTGTGATCACACAGGCTGAACTGTTGATCTCACTCAGAATGTCTCTGACTGTTTCTCTGCTGTTTCTGCTCTTCATCTCTGGTGAGTCAGAGCTGTTACTTCTCATCAAAATATAAACGGCACCCACAAAGTTATAAGAATGTATTTTTACATATCGTGGTCAGTTGTTCTAAACTACTGTAAGACCTGTGGAGCTTCTCACTTTGTGCTTTTATCTCCAAATGAGCTCAGATTATTACAGCTGATCATTCAAACTCAGCTGAAATGAACAGTCTTAGAAATGAGCTGAAGTGGAGACTTTATGCAGCATTTTTACTGACTGAGACCCAAACAGTAATAATTTACACATTTCTGTATTTTGTGTTGCAGGAGTTGTTGCTCAGGATGGGTGGGCTGTGAATTACAACTCTAAATCTTTCTGTGCTCTAAAGGGGTCTGAAGTGACCATGAGCTGCACTTACACATATCCAAGTGGTTACAGGGTCCACAAAGCTTTCTGGACCAAAGAGTCTGGTAAAGGTTCAGAGCCTCCTGATCTGTTAGATGATCCAGAGTACAGAGGCAGAGTTCAGTACCTCGGAGATGAACACAGTGACTGCACTCTCAGATTTAAGACTGTGAGAGAAAAGGATCAAAGTAAATACTACTTCACATTTATAACAGACCAACCTGGAGGAAAGTATCAAGGTGAAGGTGGAGTTGATCTTTCAGTCACAGGTAAGATCCATCAGCAGAAATAAGACACTGTACTTCATTCACTGGTGTTCAGGATCACAAAGCAGTTCTGTAATAGAATCACATCAATCCTTCATAGAACACCTGAGGAACTCACTGCTTAGAACTGGAGAACCAGAATTCAGTCCAGAAGTGTTTTGCAAACCGAAATCAGAAAATTTTAGGATGGTACAAAATGCAAATAAAATACGAAAGCAGTGATTCTAAAATGTGACTCGTATTTATTACAGACAGTGTGAACGCAGGATCTTTCAGGTTTTGTCTGGTCAACTTCATTTCATTTGTAAAAAGACAACCTTTTCTGCCGTTCAGTCCTGCAGCACATTCCAAAAAAGCTGAGATGGGGCAGTTTAGGGTCAGAAATGAGGTAAAATAATAAAATAATGATGTGATTTGAAAAAGGTGATGCAAATATGATTGTAATCATGATTTCATATTCAGAAAAGCAGCATCCAGGAAAGAGTCTTTTCAGAGCAAAGATGGGCTGAAAAATGCAATTTGCCAAAAAATGTGTGAGAAAATTATTTGAATGTTTACAAACAATATTTCTCAAAGAAAAACAGTAGTACATTAGTCAGAGTTGGTCAGCAGCACAATCAAGTGTTTAACAGTGCTGTATTAGCAGTAGATCATTAACAACACTGATACATTCATTCAGCTAATATGAGTTTGTTTTCTCTGGTTCTCAGATCTCCAGGTGGAGGTTCCTGAGAGAGTGATAGAGGGAGATAAAGTCACTCTCACATGTAAAACCACCTGCAGTCTGACAGTCAGACCAACATTCACCTGGTACAGAAATGGACATCGTTTATCCTCCAGTACTGACCAACTCCACCTGCAGCCGGTCAGCAGGGAGGATGCAGGCAGGTATCACTGTGCTGTACTGGGTCTGAACTCTCCTGAGGTCACTCTGAATGTCAGATGTAAGTACAGATTGATTCATTCAGTCTCAGAAAACAATCAAAGCTGAGGATTCATGCTGAACTGTTTTGAACCATCAACTGTTGCAGCATCACTATTCTCTCAATGAAATTTTAAACTTATTACTAAATGAAATACCAATAAAAAGTTAGTTAAAGCTTTGGTGTGAGAGGACGGAAACATCTTGATTCTAACAGTGTCCAACCACAGAACCAGAGAACCACAGAACCAAGAAAGGTTTGCATTACAGTGATTCTGAGTGTTTTGGTAAAACAAATCATTTTCTGAGCTGAAGTTAATGATGAGTATCTTAACATAAATATAGTCAAGTCAAGTCAAATTTATTTATGTAGCACCTTTTACAATAGATGTTGTCACAAAGCAGCTTTACAGAGAATCTGGGTCCAAGCCCCCAGTGAGCAAGCCTTGGTGACAGTGGCAAGGAAAAACTCCCTCAACAGGAGGAAGAAACCTCGAGAGGCACCAGACTCAAAAGGGGAACCCATCCTCCTCTGGTCGACACCAGATAACAGCACAGACACAAAACAGTATAAGTAGATACAGTTTTACACCACTGTGCAGTGCGCCTTCCACATCAGTCACGTCAGACCCTCTTAGGACAGGCAGCCGCTCAGCTCAGGGAAAAAGAGGGGGAGAGGGAAAGAGGGGATGGTAGGGGGGGATAAGAGGGACATAGTTAGGAAAACAAATTAACCAAAGGCTCGACTAAACAGGTAAGTTTTTAGCCTAGACTTAAAGATAGAGGCTGTGTCTGAGTCCCGAACACAGACTGGTAGGTTATTCCAAAGCTGGGGGGTGTTGTATGAAAAGGCTCCTCCCCCTGACGTAACTTTATTTATTCTGGGTACTAATAATGAGCAGCACCTTGTGATCTAAGTGGGCGTGTCAGTTGATAATAGGAAATAAGGTCACTGAGGTACTGAGGAACAAGGCCATTCAAAGCTTTATATGTCAGTAGAAGAATCTTGTACTCAATGCGGAATTTAACTGGCAACCAATGTGAGGTACACAAAATTGGCCTAATGTGGTCAAATTCCCTGGTTTTGGTGAGAACTATGGCTGCAGCGTTCTGGACTAACTGAAGCTTGTCAAGGTTTTGGCTGGAACAACCAGAAAGCAGAGCATTACAGTAATCTAACCTGGACGTGATGAAGGCGTGCACTAACGTTTCTGCATCCTGTAGCGACAGTGCATTTCTTAATTTAGCAATGTTACGCAGGTGGAGGAAAGTTATTCTGGTAATATTGGTAACATGCTCATCGAAGGCCAGATTGGGATCGATCGTGACACCAAGGCTTTCTACAGATGTGCCTGGTGTAATTGAGAAACTATCGAGATTAATAGTAAATGTAGTCAGATTATCCCTAGCAGCTTTTGGACCAAGAAGAAGAACTCATGTAGTTCCATGGAACTGTACACTTATTTAAATAGAAAAGGACCTCCATAAACTGTAATGTGTCTTTCTACCTCTAGATGGCCCAAAGAGCGTCTCAGTGTCCATCAGTCCCTCTGGTGAAATAGTGGAGGGCATTTCAGTGACTCTGACCTGCAGCAGTGATGCAAACCCACCTGTGGAATATAACTGGTTTAAAGGAACATCATTCGTAGCAAAAGGAGAGACTTACACAATGAAGAAGATCAGCTCTGTGGACAGTGGAGAATACAAGTGCAAGTGCAGTAATAAACTTGGAGATAAATACTCTGCAGCTCTAACTCTGAATGTTTTGTGTGAGTACATTCAGTTTTCGTACCAATTCTCTTTTCTAGAGCTGTAATATTTCATGATGCTTAGATCACTCAGTGCTTTTGTTCTGTTATTTAGATCCTCCAAAGAACGTCTCAGTGTCCATCAGTCCCTCTGGTGAAACAACAGAGGGTAGTTCAGTGACTCTGATCTGCAGCAGTGATGCAAACCCACCTGTGCAGAACTACACCTGGTTTAAAGAAGGTGGAAGCTCACCTGTAGGATCTGGACACAGTTACAGGGCTCTACAGAGTGGATCCTACTACTGTGTGGCTCAGAATGAACACGGATCTCAGAAATCAGCTGCAGTGCCTGTCACTGTAAAAGGTATTAATGGTGGAAGAATATTAATTAACCCCTAAAAACCTTTGTAACACTTTATAACACATTACTTTCCTAAATATTTGTGTAATTTAAAACTGACTTCAATATTTCTTTACGCACAGCAGTCAGTAGTGTTGTTATGTTAGTGGATAAGTGTCAATTAAACCAAAAACATTTTTAAGATATTCTTAAAAAAAATTGTAATTTTCAACTGCTGTCAACATTTCTCTGCACACAGAGGCTAAGATTTCAGTTGTGGTGTTTGCTGTTGTTGGGGTCGTTGCTGGATGTGGATGTTTTTTTGTCATCATTGGTGTTTTGTGTGTGAGGTATGTATGTGCATCTTGTGTCACAAGATGCACAAAAATACATTGAAACTGAATATTCATCCAGATCGTTTTACTGTACCTTCACTTATTCTCTTATTATTATTATTATATTTATATTTATTTAAGGACAAAGAGACAAGATGATTCAGCAAATCCATCAAAGGTAAGACAGGCACGTCAACAAAAAACAGTGTTTTCTTTGTAATTTTCAATTTTGACTTTTTTCTCAATTCAGGAAAATCTCTACAGTAATGTGGCAGTAAGATCTGCAACCAGTTATGCAGCACCTGATCCAGATCTGTCCAATCAGGATGATGCTCATTATGACAGTGTTGTACCTCTGAGAGTCAGAAACCCCAGGAATGCTGAGAGCTCTGCAGTGACAGCTTCTGCCTTTGGGGCTGATGAGGAGGTTCAGTACGCCAGCGTCCAGCACCACCGTGATAAAGTGGTGGAGAAGACTGAAGTGGATGAGGTTCAGTACACCAGTGTAAGATTTACTCATACCGATGCTGCCAACAGGTGAGAAGAACTGACCTCATCAAACTGTTTGAGTCTCTTATTCTGTCTAAATCAGCTAAAAATGTTGAAATACATATTGAATTACAGTTTTCCGGTGGATCACTCTGTGTTTATTATGTTGCAGGTCTGCAGTTTCCACACTTGATGATGTCTCAGTGATTTAAAGCAAAATGACATAAACAACTTTGCAGTTCTGTTCCAGACCAGTTTTATGACCCATGGACACAATTTACATCAATGTCTATGCCATGGAAACAGAAAGTATTTTGGAGTTCTCCCTCATTGTTTCAGTGACCATCATGTGGATCAATCCTCCTGATATCAACAGTATTGTAGCATTTTGCCACTGGCTACGCGGTCAGTGGAGCACTTTAGCATTATGCTATATAAGGCACATAGGAAACACGTGACTGCTAAGAAAAGAACTGTTATTGTTGCTGTTGGTTCCTCTGTAATCTGTGTTTATGTGTTTGTGCTTTTTTGTGCTGGGCTGAGGTTAATTAGTGTGGGTTTGTACCAATCAGGAGAAAGAGAAGTGCTAAGAGTTTCAGTTACTTTTTGAGTGGCCTTTCTGCTTTCTTCGCTTAATAAAGAGCATTTTCAAGTGGAAATTATGGCCTCATCTGATTCTTCTTCTGATAGGCAACACATTGGTGCTCAGAAGCAGAATTTTGCAGCTGAGATAAAACAGCTTGAGTGAAAGATCACAGAACTCTGTGGTGGCGGGAGGAAGAAGACAAGACGGCAAAAGAGAAGCCGACAATGGGAAGATGGCAGTGCAGCAGCCAGTGGGAGAAGGAGCACAATGGCCAACAAGAAAAGCAGCGTGACAGCCAACAAGAGCAAAACTGAACGTGAAGCTGACAAAAGAGAAAGTGGTGGAGCAGCAGCAGCCAGTGGCGCCCTGCTGAGGCATGGCAGAGCAGAGCGAGCAAATATACTGCCAAGCTACAATGGGGAAGGACCATAGGGGCTATACTGAGTGCAGCTGCAGGTGGTCATTCAGCTTTGTGGCTGGACAGAGGCAGAGACCATGATCCAGCTTTGCTTGGCCCTGGAGGGAAATATACTTTAGACGCTTGTGGATTTACTGATGGGGCAGCATGCTGACTACGTAGTGTTGACTGTGGTGGTTTGGGGAAGTATCAGTGGTGCTGTCCATCAGGAAACTTCTCCCAGACAGGTGAAGGCAGAAGGGCAAGTTCAAGATAAGTTAGTTTTGGAGTATTTCCTCTACACGTTGCTTCTGAAAGAACTGGCATGCCTCTCCACTGTGCAGGAGACGACATACCAGGATGCACTGCTACCAGAGCAGAGTATGCTGAGGAACTCTGCCGTCACCTTCATGTTATGAACTGAACTGACAGAAAAAAAAATGCTTTGAAAATGAACAATAATGCAGATCATTTTACATTACCCTCACTTATCATCTTTGGACAAAACAAAAACAGGCAAGTCAACCAAAGTGCCACCATAGTGTTTTACAGTCCTTGTGGTTTTCTATTTTGACCAAAAAAAAGACATTAAAAACATTGCTTAAAAAAGCAGTCTACTCATTGGAACTCATCTCTGGTTTTGCACTGAGAGGAAACAAGAAAGTAGGTGGTAAGTATATAGGTGTTCTTCAAAAAAGGGCAGTAAGGTTAAACAAGCACTGTTGTTTGCCAACATTAACTGACCAACCTCTTCAAAATATTTGAGTGTCTTATTTTGTCTAATATAGCTTGAAGATAGAAGTTTATGTTGTAGCGTGTTGAAGAAATGTTTTACAGGGTTATTCTGATTGTGAAGATGGGGCTTGGGGGATATGTGTGTAGACAGGAAGAACTGAGTCAGTCGGAGCTGAGCACTAAGAGAGACAGACATGAGCTGAGGCTGAGCTGGTTGTCAAAGCACCACAAATATTGCAAAAGTTGTGTCAGAAGCAAAAGTTTTTTACTGATGGGAAAGATTCAGACCATTTGGCCACTAGCAGCAAAGCTAAGCTACATAGCTCAGTAGAGAAATGGAAGACTCTGTTTGGGTGAAAATAGAAAAGAATGACATTGACTATGTATCTTAAAGAGTTGGACCAGCCGTGGGTGCAGTGAGAGAGCTGTGGTGGTGAAAGAAGAGCCAAGCTTGGAAGCTCCAGTGAGCCTGAAGGCCACCATTGTGCACCATGTCCTGTTCCCAAAACCTTAGCCAGGGATCTGGGTGCAGATGTAAACAAACATGGCAGCACCCAGGAGCTGTGTCAAATGGTAAACAGCAGGACTCTAAAACACTCCAGTAAAGTGGACTGGGAGGCTTTCCATGCTCAATTTGAGTGATCGAATGAACAGAAAGCCCTGCAGCTGATGATTTCTTTGACCGATGACACATTAGCTAATGCTAGACTCTAACAAGAGGTCCAATTTCAGTGCATTAGTTGAGGCGATTTGGAGGTATTTTAAGTGGGTTTTTTTAAGCCCAAGTTCCTTCGATTTAAACTGTGTAACTGCTGGAGACTGGCAAGGAAGCCATTAAGAGCCCTAGTTAATGATATTGAGACTTTAGCTAAATGGGCTTATGCTCACAGGCCACCTGTTTTACAGAGCGAGCTGGCCCAAGACTAGCAGTTTTGCGGTGCACAGATGTTACCAGTCCTGCAGCTGTACTCCAGAACTGGCAAGGAGTCAAGCTAGTTACTAAGGCCAGTGTCGGCAGAGGAGATGATGGAACTGATCTGAGGGTTGGCCATATCCGCAGCCATATAGCCAGTTGCAAAGGGCTGGACATGAGGCTGCCCGAGACATTTGGCTACGGCTTGTCTACTGGGGGTGAAGTCAGCAGGAAAGAATGTTGGCTTAGCCAAAAAGAACAGCACAGGCTGCGAACAAACATTTGCTCTGGTGGGGTGAACACTCATATGAGACTTCTCAAAATTTCCATCGATGCTGAAGAAGTTCCAGCACTGCTCTATTGGACACAGGGTCAACAGTCACAGTGGCCCAGCACACCCCAGGAGGAGTATCATGTTCAGGAACATTGTTTATAATGTTAATTTTCACATTTGATGTTGTCTCAGGGATTTACAGCAACATGAAATAACCAACATTGCAGTTCTGTTCTGGACCAGCATTATGACCCCTATTGAGAAAACCAAGTAAACAGGACTCAGTGTTTCAGTTGGATGTAAACCACAACCAGTATTTTGGAGATTTCCCATTCCTTGTTTTTGTAGAACTATTATTTTGTGGACCGGCCGTTCTGATAACAACAGAATGTTCGTTCAACTTGAATTTCACAATGTCAAGTGTCAGTATCTGCAATGACAGTTTGAAATTAAATTTGAATCACCAGAACCATCCATAAGATAACATTACTTTTTGATATAAAATCCAAATAAACAACCTTGTGATTGATTTGCCTGTGACCAACAATCAACCAACACATTCTCACTGATATTTACTCTAAATGTTCAAAGAAGACTAAACCAAACATTCAGAGAAATTTAAACAATCCTCTGTTAAACCAGAGTTTTATCCCTAGTCATGTATTCGACCCATCATGATGCTGATGAACAGAATGGAGGAAGATGCAGTTTTCAGTGATCAGTGGAGAAAATGAATAACATTACCAGTTAAACTCAAACCCACAATGCTGTGTGTGCTATTTTAGTACAAACACTCAGAGGAGTTGTGGTCTGAGTGCTCAGAGACAAAGGAAGTTGTAGTGTGAAAAAATGGAGCTTCTGGTCAGTTGAAGCCACCAACACTGTCTACAGAAAACATACAAGGACTTAAAAAGTCATTGATTTAAAGGGGAAAATGTTCATCATCTCAACACTGACTCATTAATGTTCTAAGTAAGTGTATCTTAGTGTATGTTTGAAGAATGAAGGACTGATTCAGGGAAAACAGGAAGAAAAGGTAGGAAAATACACTCAGTACTTGTTCAGTAGGTAGAGAGTTTATAGTTATTGAACAGAGAAGTGAACTGATATTTACACTTGTTTGTCTTCAGTTTATGTGTAGTTTGACTTTTAGTCTCTGATAATTTTGACATTAAAAGAATCAGTGAGACACTCTGAGTTAAGTGCACTTACAGAAACATTAGTGATGCAGCTCTAATATGAGGCCTGTAAAAAATGTTCAATTCATAAAAGGTTTCTAGTGGATAGTGAAGTAACTGCATGCATGAACTCACAGCTCTTTGTAGTTTGAAAGGGGTTTATTGGATTTATATATGTTGATGCTTGAAACAAGACTTATGACATTTATGTAAATTAACAGTGTTTTTTTGTTTGTGTTATGATCATGCAGGCTGAACTGCTGATCTCACTCAGAATGTCTCTGACCATTTCTCTGCTGTTTCTGATCTTCATTTATGGTGAGTCTGAGCTGTTACTTCTCATCAAAATATAAACAGCACTGTAGTCAGTTGTGCTGTGTTTGTAGGTGGAGCTTCTTACTTTGCGCTTTTATCTCCAAATGAGCTCAGATTATTACAGCTGATCATTCAAACTCAGCTGAAATGAACAGTCTTAGAAATGAGCTGAAGTGGAGACTTTATGCAGCATTTTTACTGACTGAGACCCAAACAGTAATCATTCCGTCGCACCCAAGACACGGCCCCAAGAGAGGACTGGTGTTGCCCGCTGTCGATGAACAGGCACCTGGGGAACTTGTGCTTGCCAGGAAGGTAGACAGGCTTATCCCAGCACACCCCAGGAGGAGGTGTCGGCCCCCCAGTTCAGTTCAAAGAATTTGGGCTGTGAGGACTTTTGTAAGGGGGGTAATGTGAAAAATGTTAACTTTAACATTTGATGATGTCTCAGGGATTTACAGCAACATGAAATAAATAACATTGCAATTCTGTTCCGGACCAGCGTTATGACCCCTATTGAGAAAACCAAGTAAACAGGATTCAGTGTTTCAGCTGGATGTAAACCACAACCAGTATTTTGGAGATTTCCCATTCCTTGTTTTTGTAGAACTATTGTTTTGTGGTCCTTCACAAGCAAAAGAGTTTATGATCAACATTAATGCTGGACTGTGGAAGGAAAAGTCCACTTCATCTTCATCTTCCTCAGTCACTGATGCTGATGAACACAATGGAGGAAGATGCAGCTTTCAGTGATCATCAGTGGAGAAAATGAATAATATCACTAGTTAACCTCAAACCCACAATGCTGTGTGTGCTATTTTAGTACTAACACTCAGAGGAGTTGTGGTCTGACTGCTCAGAGACAAAGGAAGTTGTAGTGTGAAAAAATGGAGCTGCTGGTCAACTGGCCGCCCACACTGTCTACAGAAAACATGCAAGGACTTAAAAAGTCATTGATTTAAAGGAAAAAATGTTAATCATCTCAGTACTGACTCATTAATGTTCTAAGTAAGTGTATCTTAGTGTATGTTTGAAGAATGAAGGACTGATTCAGGGAAAAAGGGGAAGAAAACTTGTCAGGATGTGGAACACGACTTTAACCACATTCACACTGACTGTTTAAACTGATGAAGCTCTTCTGTTCTCCTCATTCGTTCTTTGTTCAGGAGATGATCGTCACTTAATGAAGGTAGGAAAATACTCTCATTGCCTGTTCAGTAAGTAGAGAGTTCATAGTTATTGAACAGAGAAGTGAAGTAGTATTTATATTTGTATTGTCTGTAGGTTAAGGGTAGCTTGATTTTTACTTTATTGGATAATTTTGACATTAAAAGAATCAGTGAGACACTCTGAGTTAAGTGCACTTAGAGAAACATTAGTGATGTGATGCAGCTCTAATATGAGGCCTGTAAAAAACTGTTCAATTCATAAAAGGCTTCTAGTGGATGTAACTAAACAGTGTTTTGTTGTTTGTGTTGTGATCATACAGGCTGAACTGCTGATCTCACTCAGAATGTCTCTGACTGTTTTTCTGCTGTTTCTGCTCTTCATCTCTGGTGAGTCAGAGCTGTTACTTCACGTCAAAATGTTAACGGGACCCAAGAATGTATTTTTATATACTGTAGCCAGTTGTGTTGTGTTTGTGGGTGGAGCTTCTCACTTTATGCTTTTATTTCCAAATGAGCTCAGATTATTACAGCTGATCATTCAAACTCAGCTGAAATGAACAGTCTTAGAAATGACCTGAAGTGGAGACTTTATGCAGCATTTTTACTGACTGAGACCCAAACAGTAATAATTTACACATTTCTGTATTTTGTGTTGCAGGAGTTGTTGCTCAGGATGGGTGGGCTGTGAATTACCATCCTAAATCTATCTGTGCTCTAAAAGGATCGACAGAGACCATGTTCTGCACTTATAGATATCCAAGTGATCACAGGGTCCAAAAAGTGTTCTGGAGTAAAGAGCTGGTTACAACTGGTTCAGAGCCTCCTGATCTGTTAGCTGATCTAGAGTACAGAGGCAGAGTTCAGTACCTCGGTGATGAACACAGTGACTGCAGTCTCAGGTTTAAGACTGTGACAGAAAAGGATCAAAGTAAATACTACTTCACATTTATAACAGACCAACCTGGAGGAAAGTATCAAGGTGCAGGTGGAGTTGATCTTTCAGTCACAGGTAAGATCCATCAGCAGAAATAAGACACTGTACTTCATTCACTGGTGTTCAGGATTCATAAAGCAGTTGTGTAATATAATCACATCAACTTACTGGAAAGTGAGCCTCCATGTTCTTATGAACTTTTTCAGTGATGTTCCATCACAGATATTCCAATCCCTTTGAGTGTCTTTCAGAATCATTTTGGTTGTAAGAGATTTTACAGCGTTTCTGAAGTTGCATGTGGTCTCCATATTTGAAGAGTGTTTGTAAAAAGTATTTCAGGTTTAGTCATGTTGCTGAAAGTGCTTTCTGTCATTTGCAACCCGTATTTCATTATACTGTGCACTGGATATCAGCCAAAATACTTTACATTCATTCTTAGCTGCAAATTCTTAGCATTAAATGAACTCCTACATAGCAGATAAGAAAGTAATCTGTAAAATAGGAGATAACTGAGCTGTTAACTGTAGTACATTAGTCAGAGTTGGGCAGCACACTGAGGTGTTTAACAGCGCTGTATTAGCAGTAGTTCATTAACTGTAGTACATTAGTCAGAGTTGATCAGCACACTGAGGTGTTTAACAGCGCTGTATTAGCAGTAGTTCATTAACTGTAGTACATTAGTCAGAGTTGATCAGCACACTGAGGTGTTTAACAGTGCTGTATTAGTGGTAGTTCATTGCCTGAAGTAGAATTTATCATACAGGTCAGAGGAGGCTTGGGCATTTACGCTTCTACACTGATGATGCTGTTGTGTGAAGGAGAAGCACCCTACTGTCCAAGGGTCCCTTTATCTACTGCGTTAAAAATAACAACAATATTATTCTTTCTTGTGCACGGTAATTTGCATACGTTTAAAACTACTCCTTACCATGTGGTTTTAGACCTGTATTTCGGTGTAAAAGTGTAATCACATGTGTAAAGAGACACACAAACTCCCACTTACTGTCAAACATTTATGCATAACTGATGGAATAATTGCTAGCCAGGGTGTGGAAAGATGACAAATGAAAGCTGATTAATGATCACTATAAATGTGAAGATATCAAAGGAAGATTAGATAAAGATTGACTGTGATGATACAGATAGTTGCTGACCTTTTCTTTCTTTTAGCATTGGCACATGTAGGTTGTCCTCAGATCATATTTTTACAATAATGTTGTTTTATATTTTACTACTAATGCACTTTAAACTTTTACTAGAAGGAATCGTGTTCTAGCTTATATAAATAATTAATGGCTATTCTTATTAAATTTTAGTGGGTTGACTTTTAAGTAGTATGAATTTATATTTAACATGTGATAATTCACTGTTAAAATAGTTTTAAAAAGCAGCATATTAGGCTATTGGGGCCTTTTAAAGAGAAATCTCCACCAGGGTAAGATGCCCCCCATTTATCATTGGTAAATAGTGATCTTTGCATTTATAAGCTCCCTGGACAAAAAAATTAGGCAACTTGCATGCTTAAGGTGGTAGTAACTTCAAGCTCCTGCAGATGGTGTTGCTCAAGGATGATCAGGCTATAAATACCTGCACAATGTGTGACGGGATGGTGCTGGTTGAGTAGGCTGCCATCACAACTTCTCCGATCACACTTTCTTCTCTTTTGCCTTTTTATTTAGTTTTCTTCTCACCTTAGACTCTATCTTCTTACAAATGATGCGCAAATCGGTGTCCCAGAGGAAAGTGGGCCGGTGTCAGGAACAGTCTGAGGGCTCGACCACAACGACCACAACTGCCTAGCATACTGCTAGCCAATGTTCAGTCTTTGGAGAACAAGCTTGATGACCTCCAGGCCAGGATCAAGTTCCAGAAGGACATTTGGGACTGCAACCTCCTTTGCTTCTCTGAATCAGCCCAGTAATACCGAACCACACCATCTAGCCAGCCAAGTTCTTCTAGCTTTACCGCATGGACAGGACAGCAGAGTCGGGGAACTCAAGAGGAGGCGGAGTGTGTGTTAAGATCAACAAATGGTGCGGCAACGCTGGCATTGTTACTCTCACACACTCCTGCACACCCAACCTGGAGGTGCTGCACCCTTTCTACCTTCCTCGGGGGTTTACATCGATTATTATCTGCACAGTCTATATCCCACCTCAGGCGAGCACGGACATTGCACTGTGAAGCACTCACACAGTTTCAGGCAGAGTACCGAGAAGCCGTGCTCAATGTGGTTGGGGATTTCAACAGCCCCAACCTTAAGCATGCAGTACCAGACTTTCACCAGCACATCATCTGCCCCACCAGGGGCGACAGAACTCAGGACCATTGCTACACTCAGTTCAAAGATGGTTATAAAGTACAGTTACATCCTGTGTTTGGAAAGTCAGACCATGCTGCCATCATCCTCATGCCAAAATTTAAACAAAAGCTGAAACAAGAAGCTCCAGTTCAGAGGGAGGTCCTGCACTGCATAGACCAATCAGAGGCTGTCCTGCAGAATGCTCTAGATGGCGCAGACTGGGACATGTACCGGTGCAGCTCTGAAGACATCAATGTGTTTACAGAAGCGGTCGTGAGCTTCGTTGGGAAACTGGTAAATCATAAGGTCCCAAAAATCACTGTAAGGTCATTTTCCCAACCAGAAGCCATGGGTGCATAAAACCATTAGCAACGCTCTGAACTCTTGCACCGCTGCCTACAATGCAAAGCTCAGCAGCAGCAGCATGGATGAATACAAGGCTGCATGCTACAGAGTACAGAGGGCAGTGAAGGAAGCAAAGCGGTGCTATGGACGGAAACTAGTGTCACAGAATGAAGTGGCTCTAGAGCACTGTGGCAGGGGCTGTGGAAGATAATGGACTTCAAAAGCCCACCATCCGGGATGGTGAGCATGGACGTGTCTCTAGCGAACAAACTGAACACCTTCTATGCTCACTTCAAGGCTGCAGCTGGCAGCGCTAGTGGAGCAAATAACGCTAGTGCTAGCAGGGCTAATGGTGTGGCCGGTGGAGCATGCGCGGATCCTTTTAGAGGATAGAGCCCTTTAGGAGAGTGAATATCAGGAAGACAGCAGGACCAGGTGGAATTAGCGGTAAAATCCTCAAAGTCTGTGCTTTTCAGCTTGCTATGGTATTTGTTGAAATATTTAACATCTCCCTGACAAATGGAGTCATTCCAACATGCTTTAAACAGTCATTCATCATCCCTGTCTCAAAGAAAACCCCAGCCAACGTGCCTTAATGACTAACGCCCAGTAGCCCTTATGTCAGTTGTGATAAGGTGCTTTGAAATCTGATCAGAGACCTCATCACCTCTTCACTGCCGGTCTCCATGGTTCCACTACAGTTTGCATACTGCCCCAACCGCTATACAGATGATACCATCACACATCTGCTCCACACAATACTCTCCCACCTGGACACTTGGAAGGATAATTATGTTAAAATGCTGTTTGTTGACTACAGCTCAGCATTTAACCCTATTATTCCCTCCAAACTCCACACGAAGTTGGAAGATCTGGGACTTCATCCATCCCTGTGTCACTGGATCTCCTGACTTCCTGACAGACAGACCACAAGCTGTGCAGGTAGGAAAACACATCTCATCTACCCTCACCCTCAGCACTGGAGCCCCTCAGGGCTTTGTCCTGAGCCACCTGCTGTATTCACTGTAAACATATGAATGCATTGCCACTTCCAGCTCAACCACCATTGTCAAGTTCACTAATGACACTGTTGTAGTAGGTCTGATCTGTGACAATGATGAGAGGACCTACCTGGAAGAGATCAAGCACATGGAGAACTGGTGTCAGGATCATAGTCCTCTCCTTAATGTCAGCAAGACTAAGGAGCTGATAGTGGACTACAGAAAGAAGCAGGAGAGGAGCTACCATACCGTATGTATAAATGGAGCTGCAGTGGAAAAAATAGTTTAAATACATGAAGGCAAACACAGAAAGAATGAGGAGGAGCTTCTTCCCACAAGCCATCCGAGCTCTAATCCACGACAGCATATAGGACAAACATGACTATCTCACACACATATACACCCATCACACACAAGACTCTGCACTAAACATTGACCACTTTTAATTTACTTTTAATTTCTTTATTCTATTTCCTGATCAGTTGCACAGCATTATGTTGCTCTTTCACTTTTTGCATCTTGCACTTTACCTCCACCAATGCCATGTGTACATTTCACATCTTTATTGTGTTTATAGTGTATATTTCATAGATGGATATTTTGTTATATATTTTCTAAAATATTGTTCTTCTATTTGACTACTGTTTCTAATTACCTTATTACTTCATGTGAGCAGGCAGTTATCCAAGTATTTGACTGTTAGTTGTAATGTGTATGACTATGTGACAAATAAAACTTGGGATTCATAGATTGAGAAGAGGTGGTACAGTGCAGTGAATGTCTTGTTCGATGTGTGGAAAATGGGTGGCAAAGCAGATGTTAATGATTGGCAAAAATGAGTTATTATATTTGGGCATGCCAAAGGCCACAGTGTGAAGGAAGTAGCTTGATTTGCAGGTGTGTCAAAGCGTATGGTCATATTGTTCTACCAGCAGTGGCAAAAATCCCAGTCTACTGGAAATTCTCATCACAATTGTGGCTGAAAGACAAAACTGATGTACAGGGACTGCCGGCGTGTTTCACAGCTTGTAAATAAAAATCGCTTCACTTCCAGTCAAGAATTGCTTCTAGAAGTCAATGCAGGTCCTTCACAACCAATTTTGAAAGAACACTCCACAAGGAACTGCATACCATGAACATATGGAGCAGAGTGGCATGCAAGAGGCCTTTGCTCACTTCTGCTCTCAAAGTTGCCCGGTTACAGTGAGCAAAGAGACACAAAAATTGGACTGTTCATGACTGGAAATGTGTTGTCTGGTCAGATGAATCTGGTTTCTGCCTGTATGTGAATTGTGCTCATTGTAGACCTCAGGAAGCCTTTTATGAGGACTGTGTACAAGGTGTGGTTCAAGCTGGAGGCTCTGTGATGTTCTGGGGGTGTTTTAATTACGTGGAAATGGGTCCTTTGGTTGAGGTGACAGTGAAAATGTTCTCCTCCCACTTTGATAAATGCGGCCCCTGGACTTTGACTCATTTAGAAGAAATATAAGCAATAAATGTAAGCAATTACTCATACATAACACTTTTTTACAGAAGTCAAATCAATATTTGTACATGAAGTGCAATGGCTTACTCTGAGCTGAAAGTATTTTCAGTGTGAATTTTTAATTGAATTCCAAATTTTTGCTAAACTACTAACAACATACATGAGTTCTCCACAGTATAAGTTTGTTTCCTCATCCCTCTTTTGTTCTCAGATCTCCAGGTGGAGGTTCCTGAGAGAGTGATAGAGGGAGATAAAGTCACTCTCACATGTAGAACCACCTGCAATCTGACACTCAGTCCAACATTCACCTGGTACAGAAATGGACATCATTTATCCTCCAGTACTGACCAACTCCATCTGCAGCCGGTCAGCAGGAAGTATGCAGGCAGGTATCACTGTGCTGTACTGGATCAGAACCTTCACTCTCCTAAGGTCATTCTTTATGTTAGATGTAAGTACAGATTCATTCAGCTGACAGTTCATGCTAGACAAATTAATCTCAGTCCTGATGTCATAAATAAATGACAGAAATGATAGAAGTTCTCTCTTTTGAAGACTTTGGCAATTTGTTAAAGTTTTTTTGTAAAAGCTTGTATACATCTCTGACCTATCAATTAGTTTAGTGTTTTATATATATGTATATCTATCAGTGGTGGACGAAGGACACAAATCATGTACTTGAGTTAAAGTACCCAAGGTAAAATATTACTCCAGTAAAAGTAGAAGTCCTCCCTTTAGACCTCCACTTGAGTAAAAGTACAAAAGTATCTGCCTTCAAATGTACTTAAGTATCAGAAGTAAAAGTACTAAAAGATTAATTATGGCTGTAATGTCCTATTATCAATTTTGTAATAAGACTCTGGCTTCATTAACTCATTTTAGCGAAAATACTCCAGTGTCACTCTTGGTAAACATTGGTGTTGGTGTCTTGGTGACATTCTTTTAATAGAATGTCATTAATTAGTCTGACACTGATGTCTATTAAAATTATCATAAGCACAAAACACTGAAGGCAAACAGTTTCCGTTAGGTAGAACTGAGTGGCTCTGAAATAACTTTTTGCAAATAAGCAAAGTCTCAGTTTTAGATTTATTTGCAACTTACAAGTTTAAGTTTAATAAAAACTTTAAACTCATTTTCAAAAATGAGTTTTCCTTTACTAACGGCATCTGTAGGTCTCTGTTCATAAACATAAACTAGCCAAAACAAGTTTACTATAAAATGAATTAGTGTTTGTATAAATTCAGGAAAAAAGACACATCAGTCACAACTGCATATGTGTACATATTTCTATACTGTGGTCTATTTACACAAAGTTAGATTAGTTCATAGTATAATGTAGTGGAGTAAAAAGTAAAACGTCGCCCAAAATGGAAAAATGATACACGAAAAAACTACTTAAGTACAGTAACGAATTACATTTACTTTTACATTTACAGTTACTGTCTACCACTATTATACATATAATATATATATATATATATATATATATATATATATAATGTTACTGTAATAATTATAGGTGACAGTAAGCAGCAGAACAGAAGTAGAAACATCATATTGAACTGCTGGGACTTTTATTTGTTAAGTAAGATGATTCAGTCAATAAAGCCAAAAATAACTTTCTTTGAAAAGCTCAACATCCAATGTCATCTGATAAAGTCTGTATTTCTTTTTCATCCCAAGAAAAGATTACAGTAATTCTGAGTCATTGTCATATTGTCAGTAATGAAATTATTCCTAAAGCTTCCAGTACAATAATCTTCATATGCTAATGTTAATGATGGGTATCTGCTATAGAACATGAGGTGGATTTACAGGATTTTATTAATTTGATTATTCAACAGAAAAGCACCTCCATAAACTGTAATGTGTCCTTCTACCTCTAGATGGCCCCAAGAACGTCTCAGTGTCCATCAGTCCCTCTGGTGAAATAGTGGAGGGCAGTTCAGTGACTCTGACCTGCAGCAGTGATGCAAACCCACCTGTGCAGAACTACACCTGGTTTATAGGCACATCATTAGTAGCAAAAGGAGAGACTTACACAATGAACAAGATCAGCTCTGTGGACAGTGGAGAATACAAGTGCAGATCCAGTAATGAACATGGACATCAATACTCTGCAGCTCTAACTCTGAGTGTTTCGTGTGAGTGCATTCAGTTTTCGTAGCCGTTCTCTTTTCTGGAGCTGTAATATCCTGTGATGATCAGATCATTCACAGCTGTTTTCTTCTCATGTCTAGATCCTCCAAAGAACGTCTCAGTGTCACTCAGTTCCTCTGGTGAAATAGTGGATGGCAGTTCAGTGACTCTGACCTGCAGCAGTGATGCAGACCCACCTGTGCAGAACTACACCTGGTTTAAAGAAGGTGGACACTCACCTGTAGGATCTGGACACAGTTACAGGGCTCTACAGAGTGGATCCTACTACTGTGTGGCTCAGAATGAACACGGATCTCAGAAATCAGCTGCAGTGACTGTCAGTGGTAAAGGTACTAAAAGAAGATTAAATAAAGATTAAACATCTTTATTTGCCATTTTTGGTGGCATCAGGTTTTCTGTGCATGTGTGTCTCAGCAGAACACTCCATGATTCTGTATGTGGTGGTTGGAGCTGGACTCTGTGGGGTTGCAGGGTTTATTGCCATAATTTTGTTGATAAGGTAAGAATAAGCATGTGTACTGTTTACATACATTCATATATTTGTGAAATTAAATAAAAAATATTCTTTAGATATTCCTTTAAGAAGAATACTGAATACAGTTTAATGTCATAATTCATTTTAAGTTGTTACTTTTTATCTAAACAAAATAATACAACAAAGTTTATAGCAGTGTAATCGTGTGTAATAATAAATCATGCTGGTAAAGCTTTTACTCTTTTCTGAAAGCAGGTACAAAATAAAGAAGGAGAAGAGAACGATGGAGGAAGGCGACTACCAGGTGAGCTGTTAAAGACTATTGGAGTGAAGCTGGACTGCACAGTTTAGTGTCTGAGCTGCTGTAACTCTGATTAAACTGAATAAACTAACATTTCATTTAAATATTAAAGTTCTATCTTGGTCTGCAGTGCTGCTCTCATACTCATGAGGTTATATGTGAAAAATCTTCATGGTATTTATTAATAACAGTCTGTTACATTCACCAGCTTTTAGTCACTGAACATCCCAGCAAATAAGTCAAGCTGTCATTACAGGAGGATTTACAACAAAAAGCTTTTACATAGTTAAAAACATTCATTGATTTGCTCTGTAGTGTAAATGTTCTTGATGTTTATCAGTGAGAACTCAAACTGCTTATGTTCTCTAACTCTCCTCTCTTCAGAACGTTGACCCTAATGCTAAGGACGACACGTACACAGCTGTTGACCCCGTGTCCAGGTCCTCTGATGATGTGTACAACGCAGTTGCAGTAAGTGTCTCTTTAACAACTCACTTCGTTCATATAACAGTTTTGTGATGTTAAAACTTACCCATAGGCTGGAGTTCACTGTACCAGACTCTATGAAAGTCTGATAAATTAGTGCACACAAAATTATTTTAACATGGCTGTATGTGCATTTCAGCCTAAATACATAAACATATCTGTATCACCATCTGATAAGTCATCATCTGCACTGACCACAAAGTAGGACAGAAAATATAAGTATGAAACAAAGAAATATATTTTATTTACATGATATCTATATTGCCAAAATAATTATAAATGTTTTCTGATTATACTAATACATTTTTGAAATTTTGCTTTGTTGTCAGTTGATATGGGGATATCAGCATCTCTCAGTGTTTACGTTGGTAGGATTAGTTGTACCAGTATGTTAAAACTACCTCCACCATGTGGAGGCTGTACTTTAGCCTGCCTGGCTCTCACTGTGAGTTATTTATATGATTCAAAATGATACTATATTACAGAAACCAAGAGGCTGATTAAAGTAATACAGCAGTGAATTATATGACTCATACACACAACTCAGTCACCAAAAATGTGATAAGACAGTAACATTTATGGCCTTCAGAGAGAAAAATTAACACATTTTTAATTAAGTTTCTGTTCCTTCTTTTATTCTGCAGTGTAAATGTTCTTGATGTTTATCAGTGAGAACTGAAACTGTTTATGTTCTCTAACTCTCCTCTCTCCAGAACGTTGACCCTAATGCTAAGGACGACACGTACACAGCTCTTGACCCCGTGTCCAGGTCCTCTGATGATGTGTACAACACACTCACAGTAAGTGTCTCTTCAGAAACTCAGTTCAGTCAGACGTTCAGATTTATAAAGAATTCCTACAAAGTCCACATTTCTTCATTTCTCCTCCTCTGCTTCATTCTCTCTTTCCCTCACACAGACTGTTCATTCCAGTCCTTCTGATGATCTGTACTCAGCTCTGGATCCTCAGTCTCGCTCTCCTGAGTACGACACTCTAGCAGTGAGTGAATCCACTTGTACTGATGAGTGTTTTGTAGCTGCTGGAACTGATAGACTTTAATCTACAGCAGCGTCTCCACTTTGGAGTCTCCTTCACACCTTCATCATCTGTGGAGTTTGAACTGGGACAGATCTGTTTTCTTTGCTCTTCTGTTTGACTTACATGTTTCTTTCTTCCTCCATGACCTTCATTTTCAGCCCTTTTGTCCCGTGAGCTCTTTTTTTCTCTGTTAATCAACTGACGTCCTATTTTATTTCTCTATAACACTTTAAGACTCAGTTCTGTATTTAGGAAACTAAAGTACATTCAGTGGTTCTTAATTCTTCTTTTATCATTAAAAAGCTTTTTTTGTGATCTCTAGTTTGAATGTGTGTCTGGACTCAGAGATCTCAGTATCACTTATTCAATATTATTTTAAGGATGTTTCACCTTTTATTAATAAATTCTAGCTACATTCTAAAGTCTTTCAAATAAAGGTTCCTAAATTTTTCTTGTCTTGGAAGTACGAAGTTGGATGAAAAACCTTTAATGTGTATAGAACCGTTACATTATGTGGAAGTTCTATGAAGCTCATCAAAGTTATTTACACTGACACATCTCATTTACACAAATGGTTCTGTAAAGCAGTGGTTCTCAAACGGGTCATCACGGCTCCTCTGATAACCCACTAGTTTGCTGGATATGTGTTGAGTTTGGATGTGAACTGTTTGGGGACCAGTTTGAGAATCTCTCTAAACACAGACTGAAAGGTTCTTTAGGGAAACTGTTTCTTCAGTGCCACTGCTATGAAGAAGGTTGATAGGAACCTGTTTGTTTTGACAGTGTAGTGAAACATACTGTTGTTGTTGTTGTTTTGTTGTTGTTTGTTGGTCTCTTGGTGAAGCTGTGAAGAAATTCATTACCAATCTTCCTCTCTTCTTAGAGAAAATGAACAGGAAAGTAGATTAGATTAGGTCAGAAGGAGAGCATCAGTGTCTGTATTTTGGGTTTAGGGTTAGTTTAGTCTGATGTAGTCAGGATTGATTTTGTGTTGGTTGTAGTTACAGTGAGTGACCAGCAGATTAGTTCAGTTAAATTCTTTGCTTTGGAACCGTCCACATTCTTTATGTTTATGCTAATGATTTCCCATCATTCCTGCAGTATTAAGCGTACAACAATGCATGTTTCTCATTTCTACTAACTTTACTACCTTTATTATCTTGGTCTGTAATAACTGTGTAGTTAGACATGAATAACACAATTGTATCTTCTACACAGGAACTTACTTGTAGTGTTAACGTTACACTATAAATAAGTGGACAGTCCCTGTATAATTGTTATGTAGGTACTGTGTAATAATGGAGTGGTAATAGAGACATTGCTTTAGGGGAAATGCAACACATTTGATGAATGTCATAAAGCTACATGTTAATATAAGTGGACGTCTGCTGTACCATCACATTACAGAATGGTTTAAAGCTGAAACTGGTTACAATGTTACAGCACTAGCAATATAAATGCTAGCTAAATGTTAGGAAAGCGGTCAGATACAGTGTAAGTAATGTCTTAATGTAGATTATTACATATTTCCTTTTACTGCTGAAAACAACTCCTGGGGGAAAAAAAATACTGTTCCACTTTGATTACGAATGTAACTACATTTGTGTTATTACCCTTGTGTAATTACATGAGAAAGAATAGGCTAATTAAGATACACTTGTGTAATTACATGAGGCAAAACTGAATTTGGTACGCATGTATAATTACATAAGATGTATTTCTGTAATCCATCTGTAACACTGACTAAATCATTAGTAGTTACATTGTTGTTGCATATGTTGTTCACATGTAACTACACAGTTATTAGAGACACTTAATATAAAGTAGGACCATTATCTTTCATTGTAAGTATATTTACAGTAAAGGATCTTCTGAATCAGTTCTTTGATGTCTGTGTTGTTATTTCCCTTCTAATTAACTTCAGATCATCTGCATAATGTCCACATGCACCTTACTCAAGAGTGTAAATGTCACCAAGTGAAACATTTAATAATTTTATTACTGAAATGGGATGTGTTTTTAATAAACAACTGAAATATGAGTGAGCAGAAGAGAAAGATGGATGAAGTGTCAGGTGAGCTGATACAGAGCTCCAGATATCAGTCAGTCAGTGATGGACCTTATAGTACAGTGTGCCTGTAATTACAGGTACATTTCTCTAGATGGCAGTACAAACCAACAGTAGATGACAAACTGTGACATCATCATCAAGAGTTTACTAATTTAATCAGAGTAAAACACTTCACTATCATTGAGGGCTGCCACAGTCAGACAATCTGAGCTGAAAATTTATTATCATATAAATATTTGCAAACAACAATGAAATGTTCTATTCATTGTATTTTCCTATTAAAATACAAGTCTAAGTTGTCAAATTAGCTGATTAGCCACCTCACTTCCGGTATGTGTATTTAGCAGCTAACACTGGTTTTACTGTTGAAATGATTCACTGCAGTTTTGTGCAACTCACTTAACACAAATGTCTACAGTCACACAGAATCATGTGAAGAGTCGACCAGAGCTTTACTTCATAGTGAAAATATAAACTATAAACACTCATTCTGCTAGCATACATGCTGAAAACATTAGGATTAGCAACATAGCTAACAGATAATCAAATATTACTTATGCACCTGTACATTTGTGCTGTCTGACTTCTGCTTGATGAAGTGTGAGCTGTGCTGAGGCCTGTTTGACTCACTGCTTCTTCCTGATTGTAAATTTGGATCAGACTAATTCAGTACTGAAGAGACACAGGAAGTGACATCATCAGCTCTAAACTGAACCTCTTTACAAATACTTCTCATGTAGTGTTTCTACTTTAAATATTGGTCAGAATCTCATTGTGTCCAGTCCACTGTGAATCAGCTCCATATGTCCATCTGCTAAAGCTAAAGCTAAACTCCATTCATCACTACAGCTAATGAGTGTGTTTGTGCAGTGCTGCTCTGATCTTCACAAGGCCTGTCAGAGCAGCACTGCTGTGCTAGGATCTGATTCAGAGACTGAGATATAAAACAGGGAGGAATCTGATCCTGAAGCAGCTCTGAGAGGAGATGAGCAGCACTTTTTACATTTGCTGTAAGAAGAGCAAATAGCACGAGTGAGCTGACCAATCAGTGAAGAGTGACCGACTAAAAGGCTTTCACAAGTGAAAGAGTTTATTATCATCAACATTAATGCTGGACTCTGGAAGGAAAAGTCCACTTCATCTTCATCTTCCTCAGTCACTGATGATGATGAACACAATGGAGGAAGATGCAGCTTTCAGTGATCATCAGTGGAAAAAATGAATAACATCACCAGTTAAACTCAAACCCACAATGCTGTGTGTACTATTTTAGTACTGACAATTGTGGTCTGAGTGCTCAGAGACAAAGGAAGTTGTAGTGTGAAAAAATGGAGCTGCTGGTCAACTGGCCGCCCACACTGTCTACAGAAAACTTAAAAAATCACTAATTCAATAAAATAAAAGTTCATCTTCTCACTCCTCACTCATTAATGTTCTTCAATATGGAGCAGCTCTTCCAATAATTGTATGATATTCATTTTTAATGAGAATAAGTGTATCTTAGTGTATGTTTGAAGAATGAAGGACTGATTCAGAGAAAACAGGAAGAAAACATGTCAGGATGTGCAGCAAGACTTAAACCACATTCACACTGACTGTTTAAACTGATGAAGCTGTTCTGTTCTCCTCATTCGCTCTTTGTTCAGGAGATGATCGTCACTTAATGAAGGTAGGAAAATACTCTCATTGCTTGTTCAGTTAGGTGAGCGTCTATAGTTGTTGGATAAAGAAATGAACTAGTATTTACACTTATTGTCTATAGGTGAAAAATAGTTTTACGTTTACTCTCTTTGATAATTTTGACAGTACAACAATCAGTGAGACGCTCTGAGTTAAGTGCACTTAGTGATACAGCTCTAATATGAGTCCTGTAAAAAACTGTTCAATTCATTAAAGGCTTCTAATGAAGTAACTGGAGCTATGAACTCACAGCTATTTGTAGTTTTTTTAGTTTAATACCCCCCCCTTATAAGATATAAGGTGATGTGGTACCACAACCACCCAACCCCCTCCAGCTGCAGTGATCTGTAAGAAGGTTAAGCCAGTGCTTTATTGAAATTTTGATTCTGTCCTTCCAGTTCAGCAGTAGAACTTTTTTGGCAATGGTAAATGATGTTAATAAAGGATTTGAGGTGATTGAGTGCTGAAAGTGGAGAAAGATGATTAAGTAGTACTACAATGGGACATAAAGGGATAACAAGGTCAAAATCTCTGATAGCCTGTCCATGACCTCTGAGCAAACTGCTGCGTTGGGTGACAAATCCAGACAGCATGATAATAATTGTCTGTTAAAGCTGGGCAATGTTGATATGAACCACTGTGACTAAATCCCATCTGGTGTAGTTTGGAGGCTGTAATGTTTGTTCTATGAAGGATTTTATATTGAATTAACTGGAGTTTTGAATTGCAGCTCATAGAGAAGATGTCACTCCATATATTTTGTCAGTTGAGATTACATGTTTCTTTTATATCTGAGGTCCTTTTTTCACCGGGGAGTGAGACAGTGTTGTCCTGTGAGCTTAAAAGTTTCTATATTTGTGAAAATATTGAGGTTTAAGGCAGTGTTGTTGTAAGTAAAGGGAGGGAGTGTGATTACAGAAATTTCCACTATTAACTATATATTAGTTTTATAATATATTAGTTTTCTTTATACCATCTCTGAGTTGTATATACTGAAAGTGACAGTTATCTGGTATACTGTATTTTTCTTTGATGTCATCAAAGGTCATGAGCAGGTCATCAGAGAATAACTGTGCCAGGCTGGTTATTCCTCTCTGTCTCCAGGCTGAGAATAAAAAGGTTTGTTATTTATTTAAAACATGAGATTGTTCCATAAAGGAGTTTGACCAGAGGGAGAGTAGCTGTGGTTTAGGCTTTTCTTTGCATTCCACCAAGTATTCAAGGTTGTACTTATTCTGTTGT